CCCAGAAAAATCACAAAATCCTTGAGTCTTTCCCAAACTGTGTGTTTCCTGAAACTATATTTTGTGATCTTTTCTTTGGAAAATTTCCAACTCCCACCTGCCACTCTCCCTTCGAGATACTGCATACACCTGCAAACAACTCTAGATGTTCTGTAGGCTCGTTCCATGACACCGTGGGCTGGTTGAACAGCAGGCTGCATAGAGTAAGCACCACCTGGGGAATTTTTTGGGGCCCCACGCCAGGGATAATCCTGTGTAACGTTTAAATGTGTATTTATATATATATATATGTGTACATAATTAAATGCATATACAGTACACAAAAAAAAAGTCATGACATGGAGCAAAGGCAAAGCTTTGAAAAAGCTAGGAACATAGAGGCAAGCATATTGAAAAATACTTTACTTCGAGTTATCCCCACCATGACATGCATACATTTTGTTACTGGCATATCTTCTGGCATTCTATCTGACATACCTTCTGGCATTTTATCTGGCATATCTTCTGGCAGATTCTGGCATTCTATCTGGTATATCTTCTGGCATTCTAGCTGGCATATCTTCTGCAATCTGTTCTGGCATATCTTCTGGCACTCTATCTGGCATATCTTCTGGCATATCTTCTGACATTCTATCTGGCATTCTATCTGGCAAATCTTCTGGCATTCTATCTGGCAAACATTCTGGCACTTTATCTGGCATACCTACTGGCATTCTATCTGACATTCTATCTGGCATACCTTCTGGCATTCTATCTGGCATATCTTCTGGCATTCTATCTGGCATATCTTCTGGCATTCTATCTGACATTCTATCTGGCATATCTTCTGTCATTCTATCTGGCCGTTGAGGTCCAACGGTGCACACTGAGCTGGGAAGGTCCCAGGTTGAGGTCCAGCGGTGCACACTGAGCTGGGAAGTTGGCGAAGAGCTTGGCGAAGAGTTGGCAAGGCGGAAGTTGAGGTGGAAGTTGATGCAGACATGGTCGAGGAGGCGAGGAGGAGGAGGAGGAGGAGGAGGATGGCGAGGAGGAGGAGGGCAACAACTCTGATAAAATCTAACAACCCTCACCTGGCAGGTGGGGAACTAAGGATCCGAAGCTCAACGGAGAGCAGCGTCCATTGGGGTTCGGAGCAAGACAGTTTGCAAGGGGATGAGGAGTGATACCGAGGAAGGAGTGGCGAAGGGTTGCAAAGCAAGGACAAGTGGGTAAAAAGGAGCATGCAGGCAAGTTGTGTCATATATATATATTTATATATAGATAATGTGCTTTAAAAAGACTCCGGCTAGGGGCTGGCATTCGTCCCCCCTTCTCAGGTACAGTACATCTAGTATGTTTAGTTTTATAGTTTTATATTATATAAACCCGGTGTTAAGCACATCACTGGTTCAACCAGGTACCACTTGACCCCATTTTTCATTTGGATTGCTTCCTTTAAACTATCCAACGCTTACAAACATTAAATATTGATTGCCCAAAGAAGAACAGAAGCCCCACATGCCTGATGCATAACCACGCTTTTGGGGGTGTAAGAAAGTTGGATGGTCACCCCATTGTAACTGGTGCAAAGCCCTTGCCAAATCTTAGAATGCTGTATGACCCCAAAACTATCAACCAGTTACTGTGTGGGTGATCCTTTCAGTATCCTGTGCTTAAGTAAGCGATTTGCCAAAATAATACACCTTTTAAAAACTTTCAACAAACAAGCCCGGCCATGGGAGCACGCATGCTCTTGAGGCCCGACATGACCCAGCTCTTCTGGCGCTGCTTCCAGGACTGTGGCTTGGGTCGGCTGCCACCTTTGAAGGGCATGGTTTGGTTTCCCTTCCTGACATTCGCCGGCACACGTTTTGTCATGATGAAAGACAGCTGGGCCAATCACGGGTCTTGAGATTCAACTGCTATGGAGGCTTCAGGTGCATCACACCCGTGAAGAAAGCTACTCAAGCCATCCTAGCCGAACTTCAATTTTGAAAGTGATAAGTTTGTTGAAAAGGAAAGACCCACTCCACCAAGCTACTGGACAACAAAGCCGGGGCCACCTGCTGCAGGAAGAGCTTTGCCAATTTTTGCAACTATGGCCTGGGAGAAGAAGAATGATTGGAACCACTGGCTGGATCTCGGGTGGAGGTGTGGCTACACAGTTACCTGCTTGCAATAGGGGCTGAGGTTCCCAAGACATAAATAAACATGATGCAAATAACATATATTTGACTTCGGGTAATCTGTTCGAAACTTCACTTGGTGATAACCTTCATTTCAAATTGAACTGCTGCATTCGCAACCCAATAAAAAATAAACCTAACCGCTGGCAGCCAAGGCCATCACGTTTGTTGAATACAATCAACTGGCTGTCCTGCAAGCGATATGGTGGTAGATAGCACTGATCAATCCCAGTGAGGAATTCAATACATGTGATGGGTATGAACCAAGATTGGTGATATTTCAAACTGTGGTACCCTTTCTAGCCCTCAAAACGAAACATACCCATATTAATTAATCAGCATACCCAAAATCAGGTGGGGTAAAACTATATCCATCCAGTTTGTGTGTCACTTGGTGCAGCTAGTCCATCTGAACACTGGATACACCTCCAAACACATTATGAATTCCGATGTTTCCATGGAGTGATGTTTTCATTCAAACAAAACAATGATACCCATAAGTGGTGTTTGGTAAAGCATACAGCTTTGCTATTTTGTTGAAATACGGTGTAGATTGCTTACCTGGGCACCCTCCTGCGCTGTCCTGCTCACAACGTGACCTGGAGATCGAAGGGTGGGCCTGCAAGCACGCTGACGGGGTGACATCTCTCAGTATGGGTTCCCCTACAGATTTTGAGGGTTTCTTTTAGGCACTGGGGTGGTTTTAAGTAGTTTAAGGTGGATTCTTATGGGCCATTGGTGCCCTAATGGGTTCCCAACAAATTTGCATAAACCACAAACCCAACCCCTATCAGAAAGCAAGCAGATTGCCCAGCCGGGCCTCAAACAACGATAGAACCCAAGAAAGACGCCGAAGAGCTCGTCAATAACAGCCTGCATGCGTGGTTCAATGTTTAACCTAGCTGACTGTGGGCCTGGTGGAGGTGTTAATTTCAATGCCTGATAGCTGCAAAAATCATGTGGGATGTTCTACCAAATTTCCTCTTGGCCCTACCCCACAAAGTGGCACCAAACGTTGACTCGATTTGGGTAGGCCAACCCAAGGCATACTCCTAGTTACAACCAAATCGTCACATGCATCAACAACGATGTTGGATCTCTTTTCTTAATAATTGTCATAAAATAGCATGACCAAAAGAAACCATATTGTTTCAGAACATGGGCCATACGTTTCAAATTGGCCACAGCTGTTGGGCCTGCCACCTCCAGCTTGGTCTTCTTGAGCTGGTCACAGTGCACCTGCGTGGGCTGCTATCTGAGGATAGATGGGCTCGCCAAACTGACTGGCTTGGTGCTGCTAGCTTTCACAGCCTTGCTTACAAGCCGCCCGATTGATACATGACTGCATTTTGATTCTTTTGCTCCGGAATCGCTCTTGTGGACATGGAACCATCTTCCAGTCATAATCCCCAGAAGCACCTACGATGTAGCTCACACGGCCATTAGACCAAGGTGACATGGGCCGCAACAGCAATCAAAAAATATGTTTCAATAAAATGAATGTTTTAAACATGTTTTGGACTCAGGGTTGGATGATGTTTCAATAACATGTTTTAAACATGTTTTGGACCCAGGGTTGGATTTCCATCAGTCAAGCCTCTGCCACTATCCCTGGTCATGAGCCATGGTAGGAGCCAAAGCCCATATAGGAACTGACACATTCGCAACAGAATGCTGTGCCCATTGCTTCAGCGCTTGGAAGGGGGTTTCCCCCAGTGAGCCTTTCGCTTTGCGAATGCCCAGGCAGTCTGCACACCTCCGTTTGTGTTCCAAGTCACCTGACCTTTGGATGCTCCTTGGCCAGCAGTGTCTGGGTCTCCAATCCGCTTCACCACGAAAGCTCGCTTGTTCAGCAAGACTTCAATTGCCTTGGAGTATGGTTGTTCCAGATAGTGTGCAGCTATCTTGATACCTATATAGATTGCCAGTGCACATCTACATACGTAAAACATATAAAGATACATGGGATACGAAATGTAGATACATGCATCTGCATAGATACTGGTGTGCATGCACTCGGTCGATATGTGTATACATATATATGTGTGTATATATGTAGACAATGATTTGTATAACCGAATATATATATATGTTATGTGCATATATCTATATATATATGTTAATATCATATGCTTACATTTGCATATGTGTGTGTGTGCTTGTTTATACCTGGGTGATTGCCCAAGACACTATTCCAAAGAACGACAGCTGGATGCCCCTCAAGACATATGGCTTCCCAAACATGCAACATACACTGAAAAACTGTTTGAAATCCAAGTCGAAGTACTGCCCCTGCGTGAGGGGATACCAGGGTATAGCCATGTTTGCCAAGGTTTGGACGATCTTGGGGGTAGGCATCACGAGGGATCTCAAGGGCTTTGAGGTCGTAACCCTTGAAGTCATGGTCCCATTGGGGCATATCATAAAGGGATCGTTCAAAAGGTTCTGGTTCAGGGTCGCACTTGGCCACCTTTCCACCTTTGGGCAACGCACCAGCGGCAGAAGAACCAGCCTCCTTGAATTTCTTCATTCCATTCGCCTGAGTGCATGTGTGTGTGATAAATCTACCTAGCCCTGGCTACCCTTTGGTACTATTTTAAATCTTGAACTGTTTCAGTATGCATGGAATAGTATACATCCAAAGTACTGACTGCATGCCCACTGGCGACGGGGTCATGTCATCAATGGCCCTAGCTGCCGATGCATAGTGGGGCGGTGTAACCAGCATCGGGGTTCCAGAAGGTTCAGATCCATTTCCCTTGGCCTTGCGAGCACGGGGGTCCTGCTCCATCAGCTTTTTAACTCTCCGCCAGCCTGTCAGGTTGTGTGGCTCAACTAGATTGAGAAGGAGATCAACACCCGAAAGAGTGGACAAAGGACAACGCTGGGGGCCTGCTCGGAAGCTGGTCGCTTGTTGGGATTCTTGGTGCACATGTGCACACCCTCAGGTGCACGGGCCTCCCAAAATAAGAAAAGCAAGAAACAGATTCCAGGCATGTATGTTTCGAACGTCGTGTCATACATTTTGAATGGTCATGAAGGCTACAAGCCTGGGCCGGGATTTTGTTGCTTGTGCTTCGAAAACGGGACAGCCAAAGATCGAAATGCTCTCGGGTGCACAACCACTTGCAAGCTTCCCTGCCAAAGTAGTGGAACCCGAACTCACAATGCTGCAAATAGTCCGTCAGGTACCAGGTCCTAGGCTTTGAAGATTGAACATCATACTGATATATATATATATATACTATATGTGGTTGAAAACAGATGAAAAGAAATTGGAAGGGCTGTGGTCCTCTGAATTTATGGTTCTGAACAGCTAAGGGTCTTCAGGATGGCAGGGTCATGGGTCTTCCAGTACTTCATCAGGTCCATGCACAACTCAGTAACCTTGTTTCGATCCTCAATGACTTTCTTCCCGGAAGAAGGCACTTCAAACAACTCGTTCTTCGATGGGTCATTGAACTGGGGGTCAACCAAACCCATGTTATCAGCGTGTCCACTGTCATCATGTCCCACCACGTCATCATCAGTTTGATCTTCCCCAGATTCAGCTCCCTCTTCTTCCTCCGCTCCCTCATCAACCCCTGACCCTTCTCCAGCACCATCCCCATCTTCCTCCATGTCTTCTGCCTCATCACCCCCTGTCGCTCCCTCGGACTGGTCATCCGTCAAAGCAGGCATTTCCTGGGAATCACATTCACCAAGCCTCAAGGTGGGTGCGTTGGCAGGGTCATCAGAAGAACATTCACCATCATTCTCACCATCATTCTCACCATCATTCTCACCATCCTCCTCACCATCATTCTCACCATCATTCTCACCATCATTTTCACCATCAGAGCTCTCAGGGTCCGAAGAAGCCTCCACAACTGCGTCAACAGCCTGGGGTGGCTCACCCATGTTATCATCACTTTCACGTTCATCTGCAGCTTCTCGTCGACGTGCCTGTCCAGGTGTATTAGATGCCAATAAGGTTTTTTTTCTCCCAAAACAAAGGTATGAATTTTGCTTACTATGTATCCTGCTTAGGCTTCTAAATTTAAATTTAATTCAAGATAATCCCAAAATCCCACCTCAGCCCTGGGAGACAGTTTCAAAAGGCTTTTCATCTCGGTGATGCGAGGATGGTTGCCGCTCTTGCCTAAGTGGAAAGGATGGTAATAAGTTCGGAAAGTAATATGTAGTATATTGTGGTATTCTGGTTTGATGGGATTCACCTAACAGCTTTTATAACGGGACACAAAACAATAGAAATTGTATATCCCAATTTGTGGATACTGAGCCACTACTGCGCCAAAGGTATCGCAAGCCCCCCATCAGCCGTTTCATTTTGCCTCCCTCGTCCAAAGCCATACTTTTCTTTGTGTCCATGGGGTCTGAACTTTGGAGAAGCTTGTTTTCCAAGTAAACGTCCAAAGCTCTGAAGACATCAGCTGCATAGTAACCCGAACATACGGTTTCAGGAAACTTGGAAACAAATGGCCGCAACCAGATATAGTTGAGAATGCAATCATCGGCCGTGGGCCGGGAAACGTCATTCTCAAGTTGAATCAGGGGCCCACCTTTCCACTCAGGTGATTGAATCAACTCTTTGACCGTAACCGGTAGGGACAATTTGACAGCTGCAGCGTGATCAAAAACGTCTTGCTCCGTCCACGGAACCTTCCCCGGTCCTTGGATGGCAGCAAAAAAAACTGTTGCTAATTGTAAGATGTCATGATTTCAACGCAATTAGAAAATATTAGAAACAAGTCTAGCAAACGCAACCTAGTAACTGCAACTCTTCCACACGCTCATGTGAAGCTGCAAGTCAGCCATGAGGCAACACAGGTTTTACTAGAGCGCCAAGCTGAAAAAACCAAAATGCTGCAGAATTGCAACAAACAATCTGGAATGGTAGTTTGCGAATCTTGTCAACTAGACCACTGCTGAGCCTACGCAATAGGATGCCATGTTTTCCTTTTAGGATCTTTTAGGCACTACCTTTCTTTGGTGTTTCCACTAACGGATGATGTAGTGGCATCACCACCCAAACAACTGGAAGGAACCCTGTGTTTTTCCACACCTTAACTCAGATGTGCAAGGGGGACCGTGGCACCTGGCAGGACTCAGCAATTGCTTCTCTACGCTGCTTCTCTACGGAAGCCACGGTGTGAGCGAAAAAAATGTAAGCAGCCCTCAGCAGGAAAGGGGGAATGATTTGCCCTTAGATGGTTTAGGTTGGGTTCTGTATCCTTTTTTTTGGCTGTACATGAAACATGATGTGACTGGTGGGGGCCCATCATTGCACCCACTCGGACTTGTGGTACGTGATGGCTTACCTGATTTCAAACATGATTTTTGCTATTTGCAAATATTTCCTACCATTTGATGGCAGGCCCTGACATAGATTTGAATGGCTCGCGCACTCTGACATGGGACTGACAGCCAAATGGCAGTGTCAACCGGGCAAATGTTTTCAGCTCCCACATCCATCACCTCCCAAAAAAAACATATACCCAAATGAGCACAGCAGGGTTTCAAACATAGGTGTGGTTGCACGTGCTGTGCGTGTATGTATGCGTAACCCCAACAACGGTCCACACATAGGAAACCAGTCAGTTTATGATTTAAAAAATAAGAGTACATGAGGACAGATATGTGTAATCGTTTATTCATGTTTATATATATATATAATGTGTTTACAGATGTTGGTTTGGATTTCTTCGGGTGATCCCCACCAACCTTAAAGCATGTGTTTCTGACATTCTATCTGGCATATTTTCTACATATTTCTGACATATTATTTGACATGCGGTGGCTCAAGGGGCCTTTCTTTGAAGGTGTTCAATGTTCAAGCAACATCCCGTGTCTTTTGACGCAACACTGTCAGTGAAAAATGCTTTTCATTGAGCCAAGTCCCACAAAGTGTAAGGGCACATGCTAGATGACGGGCTCCAAAACATGGGGCATCAGGATCCAGGCTATTGCACCATACGATGCCTTTAGCTAAAACGATGCACAGTGGACACGATTGGATTGTCTAGGGAAACCTTCTTCACCCGTCTCTTCATCCAAGACCCAGAATCCGTACTCACCCTCTTCGGTCTCTCCTTCCTCAATGACATTAGAAAGTGGACCGCTTGCGGTGCGTGATGTTTGGGTCTGCAACACCTGTGCGAGAAACGGCAAAAAGTTCTAAGAACAGCTGTTTCACTTGGAGATAAGTATACTGAGGCATTGCTATCTGACGGATGTTCATTGACGAGACAAAACGCTCTCGTTGTTGCTCGTTGAGGTCTGCTTGAGAAAATCAGTGACATCAAATTGTCTGATAATGGAAACTGAGCGGCATGTCTGGTCCCTCTATTTGTGATGGTTTGTTCACGAAGTTCTTGCTGATATGCAATCTTATCTTCATCTGTTACTATGCCATTATAGTGCAGTCTTTGCTCATCTGTGAGTGCTGCCGTAAATGCCTGAGTGCCTGCTTCAGGAAGATCGGATAAGTCTAGCAGGTCGGACCAAGAAGCCAACAAACGCTTCTGCTCTATTTCGAATCGCCCACTCGGTATGTGCGAAACATCTGGAGGAATCGCCAAAGAAACACACGATTTACTCCCTTCACAAAGTATGGTCTCAATGTGTCCTTGAAATGAGCGAGGCCACGATCCGGATCTCGGAGTAGGGCATTGTCGAGCATCGACTTATAAAAAGAAGCTGAACCAACGAGGGCATTCTTCAATGATAATCCATGCTTATCTGCATCCAATGTTGTGATCCCGAGCCAGTCATCAATTAAGTCTTCATATTCAAACCAACTAGATTGGCCATAAAATTGGGGTGGTACCTTTGGTGTCATTTTGATGCCCCTCCGGTTTTCGGAATGACTGGCGGCGGCATGTGCTTCAGGCTCTTCATAAGAAACAATTTGGAGTTGTTCTTCATCTGAATTCATGTTGTGGATTAAGACCATGGCAGCTACTCTAACTTGACCTACAAGTTGCCTCCGCAAGTCCGATATACGGAACGTATGCAAAGAACAACAGTTCGGCACACGGATCGGAACTTGGCGAAGGCACAGGCTCCGCTACCACTTTGAGGTAGCTATCCCCGTATTGAGGGAGCCCTGGAATCTAAGATAACCCTTGTGGGCAGCAAGCGCAAGCTGCACTTTTTTTCTACGCGGAAATGCAGTAGTCTTGAGCCAGCGAAGTGGCGCAGTGGAAATCAATGGAAATGAATTGAATATACATGTCAGCATGCATGAAAGCATTGTGTAGACACGTGTACAAAAATAAATAACAGGGGGGAAGTGACCCCCCCTACCTTTGTACTACAACAGGAGGGGGGGGTGGCAGGGAATAATTGGTATAATGCGATTGTGGTCCTTGAAGATATATTGCAAACAAAATGAAGCGCCCTATGCCTTGATCACTCGAACACAACAAAGATTTACAGCACACATGTTATATAAAAAACAAGATTGAGCAAGAACTTGTGAAGGCAGGCTGCAATCTCAACTAAATGTTTTGAGCTACCTGTATGGGTTTCTTACTCCTGTGAAAGGGTTGCATGATTTTGCTTCCATCTCCGGGCTTGCGTTCCTGGGCGTTGCTTTTCTCCCAGTACACTCTCCTAGGATGCTATGGGTGATCGGGGCCGCGTGATTCTACACTTGCCTCCCACTTGCGTCTCACGGTCTCCAAGTAACAAGTACGCTATGGATGCTCTGGGCTGCATGGTTCCACACTTTTCTCCCCCACTTCTGCCACTTCTCTCCACCTTTCTCGCAGTGTGCTGTTTGTCTCCGACTTGCCTCCGACTTGTTTGCCATTCCTTGGAAGCGCTGGGTCGCATGGTGCTACAATTGTTTCCAACTTATCTCCCAGTATGCTGTAGGTGCTCTGGGTCACATGAACCTACACTTCTCTCCCATATACGCTCAAGGTGGTCTGGGCCACCTGAATCTAAACTTGTTTCCCTTGTCTCCCACTTGTCCCCCACTGTCTCTAAGTACGCTGTGGATGCTCTGGGCCGCATAATTCTGCACTTGTATCCCACTTGTCTGTGGATGCTTTGGGCCGCATGATTCTGCGTTTGTACCCCGCTTGTCTCCCACTTGTTTCTGACTCTGGGTGCCCTGGGCCACATGATTCTGCACCTGTCTCCCCCTTTTCTCCCACACTTGCCGCCAAGTTGCCCACCGCTTGACTCCCACTGTCTCGAAGTACGCTGTGGGTGCTCTGGGCCGCATGAGTCTACGCTTGTCTCCCGTGCTGCACCTGTCTCCTAGTTGTCTCCCTCTCCCAGGCTCTGCGCTGGATCGACTGTCTCCAAGTTGGCTGCCTGGTTCTCCGCTTTCGAAGAAAGGTGTGGATTCTTTGGACCTCCTGATTCTAGACTATCTCCCACTTGTCTCCCAGTGTGCTGTAGGTGCTCTGGGCCGAATGACTCGCGCTGCCGGTGCTTTGGGCCCCATGATGCTGCACTTGCCTCCCACTTGTCTCCCAGTATGCTGTGGATGCTCTGAGCTGCATGGTTCTACACTTGTCCCCCACTTGTCCCGCGCTTGTCTCCGACTGTCCTGCTGTATGCTTTGGGTTCTCTGGGCCGCCTGATTCTACACTTGTTTCCCGCTTGTTTCCCGCTTGTCTCCCACTGTTTCCCAGCATGCTGTGGGCGCTCTGGGCAACATGACTCTACACTTGGTGACGGGCCAAAAATTAAGCACTACAAAGCACAGTTTATATATATATATATTTGTGTTTAGCGTGAGCATTATCCATCTAATTATTGGGGTTATTTTGACCTATACGCGCTTGTCTCCTGTTTGTCTCCGACTGTCGCCAAGTACAGTGTTGGTGCTCTCTGGTCAGCATGACTAACGCTTCCGCTCGTCCCCCACGGGTTTCCAAGTGTGCTGTATGATCTTGGCCGCTTGGCTTGCACTTTCCAGATGTCTTGTCGATGCTCTGGGCCTCTGGGCCGCGTGGCTCCACACTTGCCTACCCCTTGTCTTGCAGATCCGGCTGATTCCAGACTTGCCTGCTGTCTCCAACTTGGCCCCCAGCTGTTTCCCATCTGCAAATGCTCTCTGGATGCTTTGGGCTGCACTTGCCTCCCACTTGTCTACCAACGTCTCACAGTATGCTGTGGATGCTCTGACCTGCATGGTTCTACGCTTGCACCCCACTTGTCTCCAACTGGGCACCCCTGTGTCTGCAAGAGTATTGTGGGTTTTGGGCCGCACAATTCTACACTTATGTCCCGCTTGTCTCCCACTTGTCTCCGACTGTCTCCCAGTATGCAGTGGGTGCTCTGCACTTTTCCCGTACTGTCTCCACGGATACTTTGGATGTTCTGTGCCGCATGAACCTACGCTTGTCTCCTACTGTCTCCAAATAAGTTGTGGGTGCTCTGGGCTGCAGGAGGCTACACTTGTTTCCCTCTTGTTTTCTACTGTCTCACAGTACACTGTAGTGTGGGTGCTTAAGGCTACTTTTTATTTTCGTTTGTCTCCTACTTGTCTCCCAATATGCCATGTGCGCGATTTCAGAAGCAGTTTATTGTCGGGTTCGTTGGTGCATCATTGGGGTGGTAGGAGCGTGCCATCCACTTGTTTCCACGCGTTTCACATTTGCTTCCCAAGTTTGTTCCTGTGATTTTGTTCTTTGGGACCGCAGACTTTATTTTGCCACTTGTCTCCCAGTTGTCTACCGCTTCTTTTCCTGTCTGCGGAGGAATTGGGACCGAATATTTCCTTTACTCCACCTCCTACTTGTCTCTCATTTGTCGTTTGCTTCTGTCTCTGTGCTGTCCTTAAAGTGGAAAACATG